CAAAAATTTAAATCCATTCCCAAGCAGCTGTCTGCATTTGAAGAGATAACTCCATTGAAACGAACTTGAAATTTAACTTGTATTATATAATTAAATAATTTCTCATGTATAGTATCAATCCTTCAGCTTATTTCAGTCCCAAATTTCTTGAAGAATTCATGAGAGCCATTTGAAATTTTATTGAATGAAGAAAGAAATAATATATTTCAAGAGAGACTGGGTGCCAGGAGCCCATTTCATAGATCAACATCATCCTGAAGTATGATATGCCCCAGCTGTGCAGAGTTTCTAAGGAATGCGATATAGACACTCTCCTTGCCCCAGCACCAAGAGACCCTCTTAATAGTGTGTTGAAGATATATCCCACAACAGAATCTTCAACTCCTGCCAACCTGCAGCTCAGGCAAGCTGAAACCAGTGATCTGATGAGAAAGGGATTTTTTTAAAAATCAGAAAACACAGCACATTCTCCTGTGCAAACATTCTGATTTGCACAGAAGTGCCAAAGGAAGATCAAAACCATCATGGTTCCAGCTGAGCCAGTGTAGGACTGTCCCCTCCCATTCAGCCATGGGGTTTTGTACCTCTGGGACCCTTTCTGCTTTGGCTGCCAGAGAGATCAGAAGCTCCTTGGCAACCAAAGTTTGCTTTGTTACTTTTAGGCTTAGGTAGGAATAGCAATCTTCAAGAAAATATTCCCAAAGTTTGTTGTTCCTACAACAGTAGCCTCCTGTTAGCCTTTCAAGGTAGTCCAACAAGAAGCACAAGCAAGAGCATCAGAACTATCTATATTATAGGGTTACATTAAACAGAATCTTCTGAATACTTCAGAAAGACTGAAGTATTTATCCCCTTCTCTCTTTCCATTCTCTAGAAAACTAGGGCATGTCTTTTCTGAAATACTTCCCATACTTTACCCCCACATGCAGAATTGTTACCTAGGTTACAGATCTTCCTCCTGTCTCCCAAGGTCATTCCCAACCACAATCCTACCTCCAGTTATTGGATTTTTTTTCTGTCCCATCAGATGCTGAGCTTTCCTGAAGAGGAGAAGAATCTTGGGAGATCCTTCATCCTCTCTAATTCTACCTGCACTTGTCCTTATCTTCATGTTTTCCCCCATAGCAACCTCACCTGAAGCATACATATAGAATTAGGAACAGGTAGCAGGCCATTCTGAATTGTTATGGCTTTCCATTGTGACTTTGTAGACAATTCCTTTTTTCATCTTCCAACTAAATAACAACTACACTCTGGGCTTTGTGTGTGCTATTTAATGTACCTTGCAAAATACCAATGTATTTGTTTAAGATAAAAGAATACGCTGGAGATATTTTTAAAATTTATGAATGCAAAGATAACTTTATATGCAGCCTACATGGAAAGGTTTTGGAGCTGCTTCCGCAATGGAAGAAGAGATTATGCATTCTCTATGTTCCAGTCCATTTATCTTCTCATTAAAAGTGGCTAAAACCCTGTATCAGAATCATAGAATTTTAGAAGTGGAAATGATTGGAAATTGGAAAAGAGAGCCAGTTTGTTGGGGTGGTTAAAGCATCAGGCTAGAAAGGTGGAGACTATGAGTTCTACTCATGTCTTGGGCATAAAGTCTGATGGATGTCCTTGGCCAGTTCCTCTCTCTCAGCCTAGGAAGGAGGCAGTGGCAAATCACTTCTGAAAAACCTTTCCGAGAGAACTGCAGGGACTTGTTCAGGCAATCATGAAAAGTCCAAGACTGGACTTCCAGTTTGCCATCGCAGCCGCCATGGATGCTGGAAGGCGAGCTCCATCTTCCATGTTCAATTTTGCACCACTGCGGGACCCTGGAAAGGATCAAAAGTTGCCCTGTAGGGAGACCAGCAAGGAGGGGATCCCCATTTGATTGCAGGAAGGCTCTAGCCCTTCTGCTCAATCCAGGGCAGCCCTCCAAACTGGCAGATGAAAGATCGGGCATAGAAATATGGCTCGTCACTAGGGTGCAGACAGTTGAAGTCAAACTTACCACCAGGCTATCCAGTGGATGAGACTGGGTGAGATCTGAACCTCTCTTTAATCCCAAGTATTTTTTTTTCTCCTGCAAAAGCTGCCCAAAGTATCTTCCACCCTGTGAGAAAGAGGGAAGGGAACTTTTATCCCACCCTCTAAGAATAGCAGTGACTGACTATCCAGGGGAGTTAAAACACAGAAAGAATAACCTTAATCTAACTGGATTTATATGATTCTAGAATTTGGGGACCAAAAAAATTCTTATCCTTATTGAAGACCTTGATTTTTATTTACAAAAATGAAATAAAATTGGAAAAAGGATTATAAAAAATTTGGACTTAAAAAACCTTAAATGGCATTGGTGACATCTTGTGGTTAAATTTGATATTACAACTTGTTATTGTCTAAAGCAGGGCTTTTCAACCTTTTCACCCATTGTACCAGTTTTAGGATATGGCAATATCTGAGTACCACCAGTCACCTAGCAAGGTGTCAAAAACTTGATGACCCAAAAAAAAAAAAGGAAAAAAGTGATGAAGTACAGGTAGTCCTCGACTTACAACAGTTCACTTAGTGACTGTTCGAAGTTACAATGGCACTGAAAAAGTGCCTCCCAAGCCACAGCCAAGCAAGACACCTGCCTGCTCACCCAGCAGCGTTCTTCCTCCTGTCCGAGGTTTTCATTGTTGTGAGCATTTCTGTTGAGTATTGGCAGTGGGGGTGGAGGGGTGTTTGGTTTTTATTCCCCCAATCTGCTGGGTGGTTGCAGCAGGTTTTGGTCACTTTACATGACCCTGGGACACTGTGACCATCATAAATATGAATCAGTTGCCAAGCATCTGAATGTAAATCACAAGACCCTGGAGATGCTGCAACATTCCAGCTGATTGGCGCTTCTCCTGGGCTCAGCAGAAGTGCCAGGATCAGCGTCGAGCTCCAGCTAGAGCCTGGTGCTGATCCTGGCACTTCCACTGAGCCCTGACAGCCCCAAAGAAGCGCTGATCCTGGCGCTTCCACTGAGCCCTGACAGCCCTGCAGCTCCAGCCATCTCTCGCTCAGGCTTGTGCTACCACCGGTTCAGCTCATTCCTCTCCCCCGCTACCACTTTTCTAGGATGGTCGCGTACCACCTGCTAGGTACCAATGTACCACAGGTGGTACCCATACCACTGGTTGAAAAGCCCTGAACTACACAAAACATAACAGAAGAAGTGGAACAATTAAACACTATGACAGAGGATTCAATTGACCAACAAATACAGTCAATTGAAAGTCCAGAAAAGGGACTGACAATATTGAAAATGGAAAAGTCTTTCTATATAAATCAGAAGAAACTTGAGGAGCAAGAAGAAGAACAGACCGAAGGGAAGATAAACATACCAGGACAATTATGGGGATCTGGAATAATAGAGAGATGATTTATTAGCCTTTCCAAAAAATGGCCACTGGATGGTCTCTTTTATTTCAAATAATATATATAACAACAGAGGGAGATCTATTTGATTACCTAAAAGCATTGACATGGAGGGTGAGATGGCAAAGCTAGAATAAGGCTGAAGAAAATTGAGGTTTTGATTTATCAGCGAGGATTTTATATTACTAATTAAAATAGAATATACTTAAATAGACAAGATGTGTACTTTGAATACCAAATTTTGTTATGAATTGAGATAAAGAAAACTTTGGTCATTTAAAACTTGGAAATATAAATACTAAAAGTTGAATTTGAATATTGATGGGAAATTAAAAATTGGAGAAAACAAATAAATAGGATATTGATTGTTTATAAAGATTGAATGTAAAAGTAACAAAGTTACGTAATAAGCTAAATTTTATTGATAAATGCTCAATACATGTTTTTGCTCTTAATGGATTTTTAATAGAGATATGCCAAAATCATGGAACATTCCAATCTCATCACGATTTGTTCTAACTGTCCTGAAAGTGGTCCAACTGAAGAGTAGCCCATGCTTAAGAAGGAGCATTTCTGGATTCCTCAGGCCAGAATGCCCCATAATCCTTGTAAATCCTAAGAGATAAAGATCCACCACATTTAATTGGCAACAGAACAAATGGTAACTATGATGTATCCAAGGTAGAATTTAATATCATGACTATAAGAATTGTTCCAAAACTATTGCATTTGTAAGTCTCTCTCTCTCTCTCTCTCTCTCTCTCTCTCTCTCTCTCTCTCTCTCTCTCTCTCTCTCTCTCTCTCTCTCTCTCTCTCTCTCTCTCTCTCTCTGTTTGCTAGCTACTCTAATTTGCTTGAGTGCCAAACTACTTTTAAAAAACAAAATTCAACTTAACATGCCATTCAAACAATTTTAGCTCAACAACAATCAGCAAATTATATTTAAATTCCTTTAAAAAGGAAAAAGAACAGCATTCAGACATTATCATCCATAGTGAGGGCTGGGGTGGACAAGAGTATCAAATGTTGACATGGATGTTGCAACGTCTTCCTGCAGATGATACAAATAGGGTATACTTAACCTGATATAATGTCACCAAAGCAAGATGACTATTGTGTTGCCATCATTATTCCCAGGTTGTCATTTTGACATCACAATTTGTAACTGATGACTTGGAAGCACCTTACTCAGCTCAGGTTATTTTACAGTGACGTTGCTCTGAGCATAAAAATGAATGGGGGCTTCATATATGCCATCTTGAATCCTTGGAATAAAGGCAACGCAATATAAGAATTATTAATTAATTAGCTGAGCAGCAGACATAAATGATGGACATATGATGGATTTTAACATAACATCTCAGGCCCGTTATTTAATTTGATTTTAGAACAGAAACTATTTATTTATTATTGTGGTTTTTAGTATCGCCTGTTCACCGCCCTGAGTCCCGTAAGGGAGATAGGGCGGTATATAAATTTAATAAATAAATAAATAAATCTCAGGGTGGCTTGAAGATAGCCTCCTTTTCCCTAGAAAGTAGCTATGATGCAATCATTTGTTCCTATAACTTTTTTTTTCATAACTTAAATTTCTTTTTTAGCTCTCTCCATGGCTTGGCAAAGACTTTACATGAAGGACATATTATTTCAAGGGACAAGTTATATGTGTTACTGAAAGATAGAGTCCTCGGTCCAGAGCCCACAAACATTGTCTTGTTTCTTCAAGATGCAGTAAGTATGGCTCTGCTTATGTATGTTAGATGAGCTTGTATAGAATACAACAACATGGCATCTCTCTAATAATCTCTATCACCTCTCTATTTTTCAGCTTAGTGTGGAATACTTCACACAATACACCGACTTCTCCGGAAATGAGTCACTATTTCACAATGTTCAGGCAAGCATAACTATTCCATCTGGCATTTCCCAGCAGTTTTAAGAAATAAAACCAAAAAGGCATGCTTAAAAGAAATGGCACAAGGATCTTTTTAATTCCAGAAAGAGGCTGAAGGCTCTTTCAAACTTGATAAGGATAGATTTCTGCGATTTGTTTTGTAGTGTATGGAAGAACATTTGAAATTATTCAGAGTTTACAGTTCATTCTGCCTTTTGGTCCCAGGAATGGAAATTAGGGGTCAACCCATTCTCAGTTCCCCAGTGATTTTCTCAAAGCCCACTTAAGAATACAAATCAAAATACAACCTTACAATGCTTTCAGAAGCTGTTTTCTGAAGATGGTTCTTTCAAATGTAAGAAGTTCTTTTTCCTGGTAAATTTATTCCTCCAAGTTCTTATACATATATATTAAAATTCAGAAAAGATTTTCTATTTTGATTCTTTAAAAAGGAAGTCTACATTTGAGAACTCTTGATTAATATTAATTACTGATAAATCTTAATATTTCCTATTATAACGTGGAGGGCCAGATAAAGATCCTAAGAATACATATATTGAATTGATCTTTTAAAAATCCCCATTTTGTTTGCTGTTCTCCCAAAATTTGCGAGTGCTCGGTACCAGAAGCATGTAGTTACATGTGCTATATTATGGATACTCATGGAAGTTAGGAATACCTTGTCTGATTACATAGGTGTATATTAAGTCCTCTGATACACAATTTTTACTTTATTAATTTACAGTATTCATTGACATTAGCCACATTAAGTGATAGCTTATTTTAATGGCTAATTAGGAGAAAGAGGTATGCATTATTTATTAATGTCCATTAAGCTGGAGAGTACCTGCCCACATTGATTGGTGTCACTTACTTAATTACATTCTTATGCCAATGAAGTAAGCAGAATTATTTACATAATACTTTCATTGTGCAAATGAAGTTAATCAAAACAGAAAAAAAGATCAGTTCAAGTATTTGAGAGGCTGCCACAAAGAAGAGGGGGTCAAATTATTCTCCAAAGCACCAGAGAGCAGGACAAGAAACAATGGTTGGAAACTGATCAAAGAGAGAAGCAACCTGGAATTAAGGAGAACAATTAACCAGTGGAACAGCTTGCCTCCAGAAATTGTGGATGCTCCATCACTGAAGGTTTTTAAGAAGAGACTGGACAGTCACTTGTCTGAGATGGTATAGGTTCTCCTGCTTGAGCGGTGGGCTGGACTAGAAGACTTCCAAAGTCCCTTCCAGCTCTATTCTAGTTAAACCATTGAAATCCTGTAAACTCAGGTTTCACAGTTCTTATGTCAGCAGTATGGGACAGCCTATATTTTACAAAGGAAAGAATGCAGGTTTTTTGCAATAATTAAACACTGGCTTTAGAAACATCACTAGTGTTGTCATACATTAGATTTGTGTAGTAACATTAGTAGCTGAGGATCAGTAGCTGTTTATACAGCTATTCTTGCACTGACTTTGGTGTGTTTCCCCCCCAAAAAATTGGATATTAAAATTGAATACCGTCTGTCTTCAATATAGTGCTCCATAAATCAGTCAGCAATATTTTGCCTCTTTGAATGTTCTTTTTTTTTTAAATAAGGAGATATATTACATATCAAAACAATTTATTAAATTATAATAACTGTATGCTAAGTACTTCAGAATTGTAGATAGATTCAGGGGCAGTGGAAAATCCCATAACTGACCCTACCATTTGACTGTTGTCTTATACAGCTGATCCTGAGAAGTGACAACTGGATTTTGGGGGGAAATATTTTTTTGTCATGAAGTATGGTATGTGAAGACCCTGTCCCAATGACAATATTGAAGAAAGATTCACCTACTGAGCTAATTTGCTTCCATATGTTGAATAGAGGAAAGGTGGCATCTAGTAATTGCTCATCAAAATGTCTTACATTTGCCCTGCCAACTCCACTTGTTTTCATCTCAACAGCTTAAAGCTTGAGCAGATTCTCTGGCAATAGCAATAGCACTTAGACTTACTGTATATATTGCTTCACTGTGCTTTACAGCCCTCTCTAAGCAGTTTACAGCGTCAGCATATTGACCCCAACAATGTGGCTCCTCATTTTACTGACCTCAGATGGATGGAAGGCTGAGTCATTCTTGAGTCAACGCCTAGTAGTAGCTACAATACCGCATTCTAATCACTGTGCCACCAGTGAGGGAACATGAGGGAACATATGCATCTGTTGTTTGGGGATGGTTGCATAAGTGTTCCTTTTATACATAAGTGAATTTTAACATTTCCCACTTGAATATGCCTTGCCTCCCCCCGCCTTCCAGCAGAAAGTCAGAATCAATCAGCAGGCAGGGTGCGCACCTTCACGCAACTTGGAGTTGGGATTTGGGAGATGTTTGCATCAGCCTGTCTGCAGTCATGTGCAACCTCTGCTTATCTTTCAACTTCTTCACAGTGTAGGTATGTGGCAATGGCTATGAGCAGTTGTGGGCAACTCTAAATCAGCCTTAAGAAGGGCCCACTGTTATCTATGTACAATCATATTTTGGTACTAAACTGCTTGAAAACTCATCAAATTTGGTATTCAACGCATTTTGAAGCAGAAATCTTGTCCCAGCACTCATTTTTCTCCCGGTAGTCAATGCACAAAGAAGAACGTGCTGACATCAGCTGTCTCATGACTCATTATTTCTTCCAGATGAAATAGAAGGTCACATGGTTTTCTCACTGGTTTTAGAATTATGGACAAGTACTGAAGTACCACTGTACTGTCAAAGCACTGCCCCTAAAGAAGAGTTGTGGCAATCATTACCCATGTCTGTTGGCTGCAGAAATTTAGGCTCTTTTGCTCTTTTGTCAGATATACCAATATGAGCTGTTTCTACTCACTTTATGAAAGGAGAAGACAAAGTCACTATGGACATATTACTTATTTGTTTGCTATTTTTACCTAGAAGCAATAATGATGATAAAGAGTAGATATTGCTAGTTTTTCTCTTGCCTATGTTCCAGCTGCATGGTGACTTCTGCTCTTGCCTACTCACCATTTGGTGGGCTATAGATGGCAAATAAATGGGTGAAATAAGTCATTAAAAATAAGTGACAAATGGTAAGCCATTGAAGCATGTATCTGTCTATATAGGTCAGTTCTTGCATTTTGCTAATGCAAAAGATGTAATGTCCTGACTCTGTGCCTTATACAGTAATTGATTCCGTTCAGAAGAAAATATATATTTGGGTAACATATTTTAATCTATTCAGTTACACAGTTTCCCCTGGAATTGAATAAAGAGATTTGTATAAAAATATGTTACAGTTTAAGAATCAGAAAGCAAATAGATGAAATTAAATATATTAAATATTTGAGAACAGTAGCAATACTAATTATTAACTGGTTTATCATGAGGATGCTCCAACAGCTATTGCCTAAGAGGGAACAGATGGTTTTTTGATTTACTTTTAACAAATGATGTTAATGACTGTGTGTTCTAGAAAATGTATCTCAAATGCTTTAATTGGCTTCCCTTTGGGTAGAAGTGAGAGTCACTAATGTGGCACTGGATGTATAAGTTCATTCAAGAATGGATAAATGTTCTTATTAGCATCTAAACATTTGTTTGCTAAATTTGATGAAACCCATATGACCATTACGACGTAGATAAGCAGGTTAATTCATATTTTCTCTGCTGAATTTCAACAAGTGATATAACACAGTTCTTGTTTTCCAAATGGTAGGAGCAAAAAACCTGGAGTGGCTTGTCAGAGCTGAAAAACAAAACAAAACAGTAAAGCAACAAATGAAAGTTAACATTAAAATCCAGCAGGGGGTTAGAATAAATCAGCATTCAACCAGTCAATTCACTTTTAAACATAAGAATCAAATTCAAGGAAAAAAACTTTGAAAAGTGCAGTTAAAAGCCAAGATTTACTTTAAAAAGAAACAGCTAAGAAGAAAGATGGAGACTGGGACTCTCCAACTGCGCCACAGGAATTGCATCCTCCAAGATTCTTCTTCCTAGGAGTGTCCACAGTTGTCCGAGAGTCATCTTGGATCATTCCTAGATGCTCCCATTCGATTGAGTAAGCTGGCTGCCAAGGAACCACTTTGGCAGGAAAACCAGCTGTTCATCGGCAAGAGAAGCAAACCCCACCAACGCTCAGTATGTCACCTGGGAGGGAACATGTGAGCCGTTCACTCAGTGTTACAGTTTGTTACAGTTTGGTCATCAATTATGAGGTGGCCATGAATTTGCTGGCAGGGCATTAGTAGCTCTCAAAAGAGTCTAAAAATAAGAATAGAATAGAATAGAATAGAATAGAATAGAATAGAATAGAATAGAATAGAATAGAATAGAATAGAAACTTTATTTCACTTTAAATGTACACTAATCAGCATACATTAAAATGAAATTGCATTGCATTCAGCTCTCAAAAAATACCATTATGTATATACCCCCCACCCCCCACCTGCCCATACACATATATGACAGAGAGAAACATCACAGTCTAGTTTGAATGTATTCATATACTTGGTGAAAAAAAAAAAGAATCCTGTGAATTTACAAGACGGATGGCATAAGGAACAAAGCTGTTACAGAATGTAGTAGTTCTACTATAAATACTTTGAAACCTCTTTCCAGAGGAAAGCAACAGGAAGAGACCATGAAGTGGATGTGTGGGATCTCTAACAATGCTTTGAGCTCTAAGCACATAGCGCTTATAAGCAGTATCCTGAATAACGGGAAGTGAGCTTCCTATAATCTTCTCAGCTGTCCTTGCCATTCTCTGTATGGACCTTCTGTCTGAGGCACTGCTACCACTAAACCAAACAGTGATGCTGTTTGTTAAAATGCTCTCAATCATGCCTCTGTAAAAAATGGCCAGGACAGAAGGAGAAAGATGTGCTCTCCTCATCAGACGCAAGGAATGCAAATGCTGGTTTGCATGCTTCACTAAAGGTAATGTATGAAGAGACCAAGTCAGATTGTTAGTTATCTGATCCCATCTGTTACCATATTACATGTCAGTGCTTTTTACTTCTTGGTAGATTGATCACAAAACAGCCAGTTTCATATCTACTTATTTTCAAAACATGTAGGACATTCTCAATATTGAATTTTTTCCTTGTTGTTTTCAGCAAGGTGTTTTCATTACTGCGTTGTTTGTGTAATTGCTTGTCAAATTCTTATTGAAGATAATAGAATTTATTTTGCATAATGGCAACTATAAAAGACTGTAATCAAAGCTGATCAGAGTATAAAAAGCAATCACCCTCTTAAGGTCTTTAATTATCTACTTCATAATTAACTGCTATTTGTATTTACTGCAGGAGCTTCTTGAGACTTCATCATCTTCATTGGTTTTGCCAGCAGTTGATTGTCATGCTGTCAGTCATTTTTCAGACCACCTCCGGAAGACTCTGAACTGGAACTTGGTAAATGTAGACAGCCCTGACATATCAAAACTAAGAGTGAATATCTCTAAGCCCAACTTATTTGAGATAAACCTACCACCTATCAGAAGGTATGAACTCTCTTAAGGACTAAACATCTTTCATGCTTCCATAAAGCAGCTGAGCTTTTTCTTAAATAGTGGGTCTTATGTAAGAATAATGTCAATTGAAAAGCAGTTATGAGTTATAATAAGTAATGTATTTTCCTTAGATATAGGAAGATCCAACAGCCAAAGATTCTCCTATATTATTTTGGGATGCACACAAGTCCTTCAAATTTTAGAAGAATACATAGATGGAGTCATGGAATAAAACTTATAAAGTATCAGAAGAGAGTATTCCGCTTCCCAATAGTGAGGAATATAATCATGGTGAAAGTAGGTTTCTTTGGTACAGGTAGTCCCCAACTTAAAACAGTTCACTTAGTGACCGTTCAAAGTGATAATGGCACTGAAAAAAGTGACATGACCATTTTTCACACTTATGACCATTGCAGCATCCCCATGGTCATGTGATTTCCATTCAGATACTTGACGACTGATTCACATTTATGAAGGCTGCAGTGTCCTGGAGTTATGTGAACACCTTTTGCAATCTTCTGACAAGCAAAGTTAATGGGGAAACCAGATTCACTTAACAACTGTGTTACTAATTTAACAACTGCAGTGATTCACTTAACAAATATGGCAAGAAAAGTCATAAAATAGGGCAAAACTCACTTAACAAATTTCTCACTTAGCAACATAAATGTTGGGCTCAATTGTGGTTATAAGTTGAGGACTACTTGTATATAAAATCCTAACATATCTGGAAAGAACCAACTTGAGAAAAACAGCTCCAGATTTTATGCTTAGTCTAGAAAATCCTGAAATGGTTTATGTAGGAGATATTGGACACATTGAATGGATCTATTTATCTCAAATAGAAATGTCTCTCTCATTTGGTTTCTTTTTTTGCCATGATCTCTCATTTTAGGCTGTTCTATAGGTGCTGTCAGCAATCTTATTAGGTAAAAATCATTCAACTGAAGCCTAAGTTATTAAGAGTGGCAAAAACCTGATTATCTGTCTTACTCAATAAAAACTGTTCTGCTGTCAGTTTGTTTTTAAGCAGCTTCCCTTTTCTTTCTGAAAGAGCAAATTACTGCCCAAGCATTTGATTTCTTAGGGAGGAAATAATTGTAAATAAAAAATACAAACGAGACATGGCATGTTTACCTGGGTGCATTTCAATCTTATTGTTGTTGTTGCTGTTGTTGTAGTCATCATCGTCATCATCATCATCATCATCATCATCATCATCATCATCATCATCATCATCATCATCATCTCATTTTGAAATATTGTCTTCCAAGTGAAGGCTTAATTTACCCTTATCCTTATGCTATTATGTTATGCTGATTATTCTCCATTTTGCAGATTCAATGCAAGTCACTGGGATACATAAGCCTAAAGTTGTTTTAATATTGCAGAAAGCAGGCCCAGCTTCTGAGACATATTAAACCAGGGGTAGTCAACCTTGGCTCTTTTATGACTTGTGGACTTCAACTCCCAGAATTCCTGAGCCAGCTGTGCTGGCTCAGGAATTCTGGGAGTTGAAGTCCACGAGTCATAAAAGAGCCAAGGTTGACTACCCCGTATTAAACATTGTGATTGTTTTTAATATCCATAACTTTTTATCTAAAATAATGTTCCTTTAGTGGATCCCTTATTTATTTCAGGACTATATAATTTGTCAAAACATTCACTGATAATAATTATTACAACATGATATCTTTGCTACAATATTTGAGTATGAAACCATATGTTTTATGTTTCCTCTTGAAAGTATATTAAATAATTTTTAAGTGAAATGTTTTTAAATGCAAAATATTTACCTATTAAACAGTTAATTTTGCAATATTTTAGTTTTCCTTTCAATATTTTTCATGCAGAAAAGATGAACGTCCCACTCAAAACAAGCTCATGGAAAACGGTAGGTGATTAAATGAATTTACCTACAAAGAATAAATGGGGAAAAACTTTGCCAAGGGATGAGATGAACAGTAAATATAAAAGGAAAAAGGGCTATTGTGCTGGATAAGGAGATTTTTGTTCATTTATTTTCATTTACATATTTGAATTATATCTGCATAACTGCTCTGTGGAAGACTCAAGATAACTAATAAAATGTAGGAACAATAGCAGAATATAAAAGGTAGAATTACAAATCAAAACCAACAATGTATAATCCAAAGGTATCCATTATGGGACTTTGGCTTGCATATAAACTAATATCCCTAAAAGTTACACTGCTTTATTTGAGAGCTTTGCCCAGTCCTTTGGGCATGAAATAAATCATCAGGTTTACCAAAGTTGATAGCCCTTCTTTCCAAGAACAAGTGTGAAGAACACCAGCTTTACTGGAGTGAGCAACCTTATAGTGACCACAGGTAGTTTGAAGTTATAGTGGCATTGAAAAGCATGACTTACAATTCATCCTTGCAGTTACAACCATCAGAATGCCTCCACAGTCACATGACCAAGGTGCTGGTGCTTGGCAACCAGCATGTATTTACGATACTTGCAGCATCCCAGGGTCATGGGATTGCCATTTGCAGCCTTCTTAGCTGGCTTCCAACAAGAAAAATCAACGCGGAAAGCCAGATTTGCTTAACCATTGCATGATTCGTGTAACTGCAATGATTCGCTTAACTACCATTGCAAAAAAGGGCATGTAAAAACTTCTTTGCTTAGTAACACAAATTCTGATCCCAAAAATGGTTCTAAGTCAAGGACTACCTGTAATACAGGGGTGTCAAACTGCCAGTCCGCAGGCCGGACACATCATTCTGATCCCAAAAATGGTTGTAAGTCAAGGACTACCTGTAATACAGGGGTGTCAAACTGCCGGCCCACGGGCCAGACGCATCATGCAGAAGCCGCACCCACCCCATTGCCGGCAATGGCAAAACTCTCCCGATACCTTGCACGACATCACGTGATGTCGCGAGTTTGACATGTCTGCTGTAATAGATATGGTTGACATTTAAGAAGATCCTGAAGACTAACAATCAGGGAAAGGTTTTTGTTTCTATTTTCTTGGATTTTAGATTTTGGAAGATATTTTAAGCCTATTTGAGGCATATTCAACAATGTTCAACAATGTATTCCCCAACTCAAAATGGCAGAAAATGACAGTGCTAATTTTCAGTTGTTTTGATCACAGTGAACTCTGGAATTAGAAAGATGTAATGGTAGGTTGCATAGACTTGTCTACAATACAGTTTTATGTGTATAACGCATAATCTATGGTATTGTGATGGAATGTGCACCTGCAGCAGCAAAGGGGGAGAATTTTGCAAACTCAGAACATTCCCAAAAGAAGACTTGGGTCAAGAGTCTGCACAGTTCTGAGCTGGAGAATGTGAGGGGAGGAAGAGACTCAGAGTAACCATTCCCTAGAATCTCTCAGGATATATATAGTAGTTTAGTTATAGCTTTAATGTGGTAAGATTCTATTAGATGTAAGGAGATAAAGTATTGGACTTGATTGGATCTCACTGTCTCATATGTGGGCCTGAGCCTGGCATGTATATACAGATAGTCCTTGACTATCCACAATCATTGGAAATTATGATGGACCTTCCTGAAGTTCCAATGGACACCACTAGCACCGCTTCATGGACATGTAACTGCATTTCAGCTGCTTAGTAACTGACTTGCATTGATGGCTGTTTGCAGTGTTCCATGGTCATTTGACCGTGGCTTTGCCAAATATCAGTGCTTTCTGTTTTTTTGGCAAAACTTGCCCCTAGTGATCCATTGGCTGACTTAATTACTGCAATGTTTGCTTAACAACTGTGGTGATTGCTTTATGATCATCACATAAAAAGTTTGTAAAATTGAGTCAGTCATGGGAGTGACCAGAGTTATGACTATCATGACTTACAGCAATGATGGGCAGGCTCCATTACAACCATAACTTGAGGACTACCTGTAATTTCCAACAATTTTCTTTGAAGCTCTTGAATCATTTCCATAATACTTAAATCTTTAAATCTTTTTAATTTCTTGCATCTGATGATATGCAAAAAGTTTCTCTCCCGTATTGCTAAATTTCGATTTAACTATGTAAAAATGAACTTTCAGAGATTAATAATAGGGGGTACATATTTCATTATATTCCAAATTATGAATTAAATAGCATTAATAAACTATTATAACATTATTTTGTTTTACAGATGAAATAATTGGAAGGTTTATCAGATCTTTGCAGCAACAAGGAATTCCATTTTTAGCCATTTATACAGCAAAGCAACCATCACAGGTCAGTACTTCCGCAAAACCTGAAATATAAAATGTCATGCTGCAATTTAATTCCTTTGCCCACTAATGATGTACAAAATGATCTGGTGATATCCAATCATGATTGTGCCAAAATAGCTTCAATTTATCCCAGTGATTCCTGTGGAAGGGGAATTTTAAAAACCAAGATGGCAGTCATGATCGTGTGATCAAAACTGCTCCCCTTTTATACATTGTCAATTGTGTGACAAATGTAAAAAAGGAACAGAGACCTCAAATCCTAAAGTAATTTCTGATTACTTTAAGATTATGAAGGCTAGGTGACACAATGAAGTCACTATATATCACTAATGGGGACATGGTTTTGTGAATTACTTTTTGCTGTAATGTATTTGTTTTTCACATTCCACAAGAGAACTGTGATTAAAATGGTATTGATTTAAAACAAAGGTTTAAAGCTTCAGCATTTTATTGCTTAAAAATATTGCCCCTGTTGTTAACAACCTGAAACTTGATGAATTCTATAAATGTGCTAGATTTCAAATCAATCTGATTAAAATGGCAACAGATACAGCAAGTTCCGATTAGAGCATATAATATACTTCTGTCCAATAAAAATTATTAAAGTGTTTTATTAGGAGTTACTGTTAATGAAATCCTGAATTGTGCTTCTGAAGTTATTATTTCTTCCTGATTAAAGCTTGCAGCAATTTTATTCTAAGAGTAAAATATTGTTCTCCGAAGGTGCTATCAAGAGGCCTTTATGCATTATATCTTCTGTTACAGTTTAGGAATGTGTCCTAATGAATATTATGTTAATGACAGCATAAATGAACGTTAGTTTGTGATAAAATGTGCAGTTGTGGCTCTTCTTTTTAGTTCACCACCATTTATAGTGAAAAGTTGAATAATATTGGTAATGAATCAAATGTGCACAGAAGTGAGGCAAAGACAAGTGATGAAATGTCCATTGTGACATTGTGACACAAACCTATATCATTTAAACGCTACTTATACAAGTAGAAAAAGCCAGTGATTCCATTGCAATATAATAACGCCCATTTTGGCATCAACATGCGTAGGAAGAGATGCCTAAGGGGAGGGTGGTTACCTTGTGAATCACAGAACCCCAAGTGGATGTTAGTGGATGATTCCTGCCTAAAAAAAACTTGTGTGGACAAAGCTTTGGGTACCAGAACAAGTCTGCTCTTTCAAACATAGGAATACTGTCTATTCTGTCTCTTTAACTGATTATTAATGCTGGGATGAAAGGATTGGTTTTGAGCTAAATGGTTAGACTTGGGGCCCAACGTTTACATCTCTCTTTTCTCTCAATTTCAGACAGAAATTTGTCTGTTAGTTATTCCCCAGTTGTAGAGATTAAAAAACAAACAAAAGAAATGATAGAAAGAAAAGACAGAAACATTTCTTCATGCTTTTGTGTGTGTGTGTGTGTGTGTGTGTGTGTGTGTGTGTGTGTGTGTGTGTGCTCTCAAGTCAATTTTTGACTCCTGGAAATTGCCTGGACAAGTCCTTGCAGTTTTTTTGGAAAGATTGTTCAGAAGTGGTTTGCCATTGTCTTCTTCCTAGGACTGAGAAAGAGTGCTAGTCCAAGGTCACTCAGCTGGCTTTGTTCCTAAGATGAGACTAGAACTTCCGGTCTCCCAGTTTCTAGCTTGATGCCTTAACCACTTTATCTTTCTTCATTTATGGGTCAATTGCTCAAATGAATACTTATTGTTTAATATAGGAAGTTCATTTTGATTTCTGTTGTGGAATTATTCCTTAAATATACCATATTTGAAAAAAGCTAGATAATCATTATATGTTGGATACAGAGATAAACAACTGTATTTCTTTGATGCCACCTATTTGTTGTCATTGATTCCTATTTATTATTTTGAGTCATATAATTTAAATGAAAGTGGCATTTTATTAAATGCCCATATAGTTATGTAGCAGTATATCTGACTCACTTACATACAGACTACCTTCTATTAGAAGCTCATCAAACTGTAAAGAAAGGAGAAGAAACTATCTTATACTTCAGCAGGTACCACATTGTCTTTATTCACAGGGTCAATCAGATGGTGATGTTTCTCATTTCCTATCACACCAACCTCTCTTTTAGGATTTTCTGATACTTTTGTCTTTGTGTTTGCCCAAAATGAACCACACTTGCTCAAGATACAACTTCCTAGTCCTTCATTGTATCTACCTGAAGGCTGAGAGAAGCAAATTTGTACCTGTTCATTTTGCAGCAGTACCAGAAAGTTCACTGTTGTCTTTGCTCATCAATTCAATTTCCCACTTTAATTGCTAATCATCCCTTCCTTTAAACATTAACATTTACATTTCCCCCTTGCAAAAACTTAACTAGGTTTGGAACCTTTTGAAAGAGTGATACTCTTGCTTTCTCAGTATATTGCTGATGGAGTACTTTTATCCTGTTCATTGTGCTGAAAATCAGCATGCCTGATCAGGCATGAATTATGGGTAAAAGAACCACTGCCAGTTCACTGAAAAAACAGAGGAACAGCCAGTGGGGAACATCCCAAATCTTTGTGGAAGTTGGCAGACCAACATTCCCTGTTATTATTACTTACACTTAATTTTTGTGCTTCCATGAGAAATTTTTCTGTCCTTGTTTCACACACACATTGCACAAAGCCACAGGACAGCAGGAAAAAACAAAAATGGAATAGCTGGATTAATCTCATTTCTGCATCAGCTTGTAAGTTCTAGCTCTGAGTCTGAGAAAGAACTTCAGGTTAACTTCATATTTTCGAAGGGCAGAAGATAGAATGGAGGGGGCCACTCCCAATAAGGCATGGGAAAACAGTCTTTCTTCCAATGTAGAAATGATCATGTTTCCAGGTTCATATTGGATTGCCAATAAACTGGCTAAGTGCGTTCTATAGGAATTGTCCACAGGTATGGTTTAAAAAAAGTAAAAATGGTAGCCACAATGGCGTGGATGAAGCTCTGCCTGATTTTTATGTGCATCTTACATATAATAAACATTTTAAAAATGGGGGGGGGAGTTCAATCACACTATTCTAGCCATCATTTTCAACTATATCTGATTTTGGCTAATGTGACTGATAAAAAAACCTTGCATTTTACAATTGTATTGCTATTCAAAAAGCTGAACTGCTGATCAACAAAAAATTAGCGAAGGTACCAAAACGGGCATTTTTGATACCCTTCACTATCTTATTTAATCCATTCTACCAATGACTTAGTAACCAACTCAACAAGAAGATTCCTTCTAACAGTGTAGCTAATTTGGGGAGTTCCAAAAGTCAGTGGAAAAGTAGAACTTAAACATCTTTTTTGCCAAAAGTACTCCATCTTCCTCATCTGTATTATGGTTGGAAATATCTAGGACAAATGGAGATGGCCAGAAGTAACAGGATGACAGGATGACAAGAGATGGCGGTCTATCTATTGAAACATTAGTCTGAGCTTTCAATCCTCTGTCTTTGTGAAACTTAAGCCAACATTACATTGACTTAACTCTGGTCTTAAACTAGTAGATCATTTATTGTTGATTTTTAAGAATCACTACTGAATATTGTTAGTTCAATCCTGAGATAGTGGAAAGGCTTAAGATAGAAGAAAAAAGAGAATTAGCGTTTTTAATGGAGTTTTGTAAAATGGACTAATCTTCACAATTTGCTTTAACAAGATATGGAAACTGACAGGAGAAAAGTAATAAGATGAGCTAGGGGGTCTTTTAACTGACAAGATTACCTGGCTGCTTTCAAATCAAGATAGATAGCTTTTAATGTCCTTCAATACCTGTACGGAAGATGGACTGCATCTAATTTGTTTAAATACTGGAAAGAGGATTGTTAATTTATCTAAAAGTATAATATGGCCCTTTCCAAATGCTGACAGTAATTAACTAGGCCAATCTTGTGCTTTCATAAGATGCACTCACAATGCATCTGGAAGGCAGGAAGTAAAAGAAAACCATGATGAATCATGAAATCTTCAAAGTCACTGAGCTATATCTTTTGCATTGGAGCATAATAATTGTGTACATTTCAAAAGGATTGAAGTTCATATGGGACCTGCATTCAGTGGTGTAGAACCAAAATAGTTGAGATTGATCTGGCCTGTAAAGTAATTGTCGCAATTGATCCAGGTGATTAAAAAGCTTGGCCTGAAGCAGACAGCCTGATTGGTATACAGAGGAAGGATTTTAAACAGATATATGATACATGATACATGATTGCTAACGTCCGATAACGGATATGGCACAAGAAGAAGAAGAAGATATTAAAGAAAAGGCAGGGAAGATGATTTTCCTCTATGGATTCTGTTGTGCGATTCAGGCTTCTGTGATCAATGTGATCACCAATAGCCCTTTGGTATAGTTATTGAAATTTGAGCTATGTCATTTCACAATTAGTGTAGACTTTTAAATGCAGACTGGTAGTTTCCTTAGTCCTCTTCTCTGTTTGGCAGATCTTAAGTCTTCCTGTAAGTACAGTATGGCTTATATAGTTTGGAATATGATACATATTTACAGTTGCTTGAGGGGTTTTTAATAATTATGTTGGTGCCCTTGAGGAGAAACTTCATTTCCCTGAAGTTATTATATGACTTACATTAAATGGCTGGAGGCATAGATATCTGTGATATTCATGATGTTATAAGTGATTACAAATGCATCTTGATGTCATTACTGAAATGATGTGATTATGTGATTGTTGTCTGATGCAAGAATGTAAATTACATTATTGGCATGATTATGTCAAGACTTAAGTATAGTCATCTGCGCCTGCCACCCCTTATGCCACCTGCCACCAGTGGCTGGAGAACGTCTTTATGTTGTGGAACTGTTTTTCAAAATATAAAGCTTCCTGTCTCACTAGACCAGGGGTGTCAAACTGCCGGCCCGCAGGCCGGATGCGTCATGCCAAAACCACGCCCACCCCATTGCCGGCAATGGAAAAAAAGTCACGATATGTCGCGACACGTCATGTGACATTGCAAGTTTGACACCCCTGCACTAGACTATTTTTAAATTATTTGACTAAAACAAATCAATGGAACAACCTGCCTCCAGAAGCTGTGAATGCTCCAACGCTGGAAGTTTTTAAGAAGAGACTGGACAGCCATTTATCTGAAATGGTATAGGGTTTCCTGCCTGAGCAAGAGGTTGGACTAGATGACCTTCGAGGTCCAACTTTATTATTATTGTTATTGTTGTTGTTATTATTATTAAAAATTAAATAGTATGTAGCCTTCTGCAAAGTGCAAACTTGTAGCAGTGCCTGAACTTCTAAGAGAACCACTGGATTTCACAAGAAACCAAGGAAGGGAAGAAGTGTTTTACTCTACTCTGAAACAACACCCTAATTAATTGGGAAATACCGGTACATATTTTCATAAACTGAAATAATCAAGGGCACCTGCTCGGTCCATCACATTTGTCAAAATGATGCAAGGAAGCTCAGGCCTTTTCCATGTGCATGCAGTGTCATGGGGCATATCCTAAAAGAGGTAGAGGTTTCATCACATGATTCATGATGATCACATGAACACATGACATGATTCCATTTTTGGCATCTGCCCTGTGGACACCATTGATAAAAACTTATCTGTTTATTTAAACAAAGAGTTAGGAAGGCCTAATAAAATACAACACAATGCAGGGACAATTATTTCTCCAATCTTTTTCAAGGGAGGATCTTAGTTGGAGCACCACAAGTATTGAAATCTACAAAGCCAGGTTTATACAACTTAGGGCAGTTACATTTTGTCAGTCCTACAAGATAGACCAGACTAAAACCAATGATAAATAGGTCAAGACTACTTTTACTGCAACAACTACAATAATAGAGTCTTGCAAATCTGAATGTGCTTCCCCCCTCCCTCCATTTCATTTCATGGGAGGGGCTTGTCTGAGATGTTTTCTCATGTTACTTCCTTGGCCTGGGCTCAGGTCCCTGTTATCTGATCTTTGCCTTGGTACAAGCTCTTCCTCCCCCATTCAAGACCATTCCATATTTCCACTGCATATTTTAGCTTACATTGGCGATGCAAGCAAAATTTCCCTTGTTAATCATTAGGTCTGTGCAACCTTATAATCTCAAAAACAAAAAGGGCATTTGGAGCCCTCAAAGGTACTCATATAATACCTGTCTGCAAGTCCTTGGTTCTCCCACACCTTTCCTTTTTGGTTCCTTTTCTGAGCACTGATTTGCATTAAAAAACAATAAATGGTAGCATGTAGCTGTAAAAATATACGTAATTATTTGCTAGCTAGATCAGCTAGATTCCTCCATAGAATGCAAAGAACACTTTAGAATCATTACAGCTGAACTGTTTCAAGCTACTTGAAGCTAAATATATGTCACGATTAAGAAGGTTAACAGTGTCTTGGCAAGACACAAGATGAAAGGAAGAGTGGAAGTTACTAGCTTGTTATTATTAACTATAGGTTAATAGAGTTAAAGTATAATATCTAAAACAATTATTTCTGCCTTAAAACTTTTTTCCATCACAGAAGTTGTAATTTCTTTAACTTTAGAATAAATTCATTTTCTTTAAGTAATATTTGTCCTGTACTTTTATAAATTAGTATAAGCAGATAGTTTATAGAAAACATGAAGGCTTCTGGAGCTAGGTTGAAAAACTCTAGATGATTTTAGATGGCAGCAGGAAAAAATAGAAACCTCCCTGCTGTCATCTAGTAATCACCTAAGAGCCAACAGTGTAGTATGGTAGATAAAAGCACCAGGTTAGAAAGCAGGAGACTGTGAGTTCTAGTTCTACCTTAGGCATGAAGCTATCTCTACAATTTGGCCAATCACTCTCTCTCAACCAAAATGAGAAGGAAAGACAAACCACCTCCAAAATGTTGCAAAAGAACTGTATAGAATTCTCCAGACTGTTGCCAGGAATCAAGACTGATTCAAAAGCTATATATAATTTGGATTTGTGCATCTCTGCCAACTTTGAAAACCTTAGTTTGTGCTCATTACCTGGAATGTATCATTTTCCCCCACCAAATTTCCAGAGCTGATGCCATTCATATTGTGACAGTTCTCCCAGAATTTATGTTTGGACATTTGGCAAAAATGACTAAATAATTGTTCAAGTCAGCTGCACAAAAAGAAAGGTGACTTTCTTTAGCAAAAATTTGCAAACTAATGCGGAAATGGGATGAATGAAATTCAAGTTAAAGAAAAATAAGGATTTTAAAGGACTTTGAAATGGCCCATTCCTCTGTAATCCCAGCTTGGAACTTCCTAACAATCATGCTATTTCATCTACCCATTGAAAAGCAGGGAGTCAAACCTGCCCATTTTTCAGGATCAGCTTCTAATGCAACTTTTAATAATGCAAGGAGCAATTTATTCATTGTAATGAATAGGCAACACCTTCCTGTGATCATCTTCAAAAACAAATTTGCATTCATATCTTTCGGTGGCTGCTTTTGTTTTGCAGCTTTAGATGGTGCCCATTTAGTGTATGTGTAAGTCGCAATTCCAGCCAGCGAAGCCTTCTAATGGCTTATAGCCTGCTGTGCTCAAAGTCACTCATGAATGTGAGCGAGTGCATTTTCAAGAAGTGCTACATTTCTTAAAAGTTTCATTTCATCTCTGTGAAAAGCCAAAGCATCCATTCCAATTTCAACAAGTTGAGGTAAATCCTGTTTTGAAAATACAGCACCTGCTGCGTGCCTGCAAATGCAGCCTCTGTTACCTCCATTTACTCTAGTCTTCTTCTTGTGAATAGTAACTAATCTGACACTCTGCAGCATCCACCTGGTTCCCTGATCTGCGTTTACTGCTGAGATTTCATTTCCTTGGACTAAAGTTCCTTTCCTTTATGCCTAAATGCCAGGCCCTACACACTGCGATACTGTTCATGTTCCTTTTTGTAAAAAAATCTGCTTGTAGAATGAACTTTTAACCGCAGGTGGGTTTTTGAAGCTAGATATTGATCTTCAATTATTTCTTTTCTATATGTTGACTTTTTGATATAAAAGTGTGATGTATTGATTTTAAGAGGACAAAAGACTACTTTGCTGGGAACATAGATAAGCATTAACATATTTCATATTTCATTCATTCAGTGCTATTTCATATTTCATTCATTCAGTGCTATGCCTAACTTGACCAAGTCCTTGAGAATTCAGCTGGACTTTATCCTACTATATAGGCATGCAGCTGAAGAAAGCCTATGATTTTACTGATTTAAATTTTCAAGCAATTGGAATTTATAGTGTTCTTTGCGTGCTGTGAGCATTTTTGAGGGTGAGAATCTAACTTGAGCAATGATTAGTGAAGCAGGTTGTATAATTATAACATAAAAGATATTTATAAATAATATAAGAATAAACAAAGCCTAGCAGCTAAAAAAAATCCAAGAATATGTGCTCCTGTGGGTCTCCTATTTAAGCAGTTAGACTAGAAGACCTCCAAGATCCCTTCCAAGTCTGTTATTATGTATTCTATTCTGTAAGAAAGGGAGAAAGCCTTGACCTCAGATTATCATCTCTTAAATGAAGAGTCAGCAGAGCAATAAACAAAAAAACAACAACGGACATAGATGAAGTCCTTAACTTTCTATTTAATCATTACTGCTTCCTCCTGGTGAGTAGGTAATGAGGTATGGAAGAATCAATGGCATTAAACTTGTTACCTTCCGACACAGACATCTTAATTTCCACATCAATCTTTGAAAGTTGTTTCCTCTCAATTTTTACTAAATAAGTATAAAGAACTAATGCTTAACTCTTTTTTAATGAATTGCTTGATGGAAATACCCCTCCAACAGACCAGAAAGAAATACTTTGTTATCATTGTAAAAATATTTAATACTATTTTTTAGTCCAGAGCACTTTTCTGAAAGTTCAAAACAATTCCACATTTTCGTTCTATGCTACAGATATTCCATTGCTGTATGTGTCTTTATATTCCTGTGAAATTTTAAACTATACTCAGAAATTGTATGCAGAGTGTATTAGGATTATTATCAATTTTTTATGGATCCAAGTAAGAGAAACTTTCTTTATGTGCTGAGGCTGGATTTATTAAATGCTTCTGGGCCAAATAGTCCCTGAACCTGAAAAGATACATCCTTTAATGGATTAAAGAAGTTGTAACTTTGGCCCTTATTCCATTTGTTTCTTGCCGTTTCTGATGTATCAATAACTGCATTTTGCAATTTGAGCATCTCTCACATTGACACCAACCTTCCCCTAAGCTAGTGCACTCCAGATGAGTTTTCATACACATCCCTCTTCCTCAGTTACCATAGTAATTGTCCCATAGTTTTAGTTCTAGAATGCACTTAAGTTGGGTAAAGCATCAGAAATGAATGAATGTAAATGTGTTGCATGCGTTTAAAAAGCTAAAAGAATTTCCTTTGTGCAGTTGATAATTAATATTATCTAAGTAGGAAAAGTAGTCACTGTATTATAGCTACATTTTTTTAATTCGGAAAAAAATTATAAACAAATTTTCCATCCTCTCATAAGATTGCAGGCTATAATATCTTTTTCATGCCCATGCAGAATAATAATTCTCAAAAGTAATACTGGAGGTGTATATGACTATGTTGGTTTTTGGCCAGATCTGCAAAGAAATCTTATTTTTTTTAAGTCTTCCCTCAAGACTTCCATGGTTAATCAAAATCAGGACCGTAGATTATGAATTAAACTTCTTCCAAATATGATTTAAATCATTCCCACAGTTGATATATCTCACATCCCACAATATTTCTCGCTGCATTTGCTCACAGTCCTATCTGATTTTATTAATTCCACATATTTATAGTGGCTTCCAATAACACTTTTTGATAATCCTGCTGTCATAAAAAGCCAGCATAACAATGACCCAATTTATGCAAATCTGGCTTCTCTTTTCGTTGGTGAAAACATAAAAGTTGTAGTCCAAAGGCCATAATTATGCACACATTCAATTCACTTCAATGGGGCTTGAGCCTTTTCTGTTCAGGATTTCTATCAACACTTCTCATTAATCAAAGGTTTGCTTGAGAAGCTGTGTTTATCCCTGAGAAATCAAATAGCAAGAAAGAAGATTAAGATTTGATTACTTTACACCATGCTTTGGTCTTCTCTGTTTGCTTCATTTTTGTAAACTGAAAATTGCTGTTCATAAACACAGCATTAAAGAAGATGAGAAATAATCAATACTATTTAAGTGTTGATTTATGAATGTCTAACTTTGTGAAATAATGTTCTCCATATAGGAAACCTCCAGGCTTTGAGAACCAATATCATTATGGTCAAAGCATCTTATCATACATGTCTTGGGAAAGAGCTGCTAATGACCTTGTAGGAGAAACATAGCAGGCTTTGTTTCCTAACTTCTATTAATTTTGAAGTAGGTTTCTATTGGAGACAATTAATGGATGTTGCTTGAAGTAGTTGAAAGTCAAATATTGAATAATAATTCTAATTAAACTGAAACAGAGAGCCAACCCAAGTACAGGAAAACTCAGTTCCTGGTTATGACATAGAAGTGCATCATTTGGTTTTATTGGCAACCTGGAAATGGTATGTGCCACAACCTTATTCCGGGAAGGTTTTTCAGTTTCTCATCTAGCCTGCAGCTCTAGGATTTCCTCATGCATTGATAAATCCAGTCCAACTTCCTCTCCTCTCCTCTTTGTTATCAGCTAAAGTACAGGTATTCCTCGACTCACAACCAGGATTTTTTTGTTGTTAACTGAGAAATTTATTAAGTAAATTTTGCCCCTTTTTGTGACCTTGCTTGCCACAGTTGTTAAATGAATCATTGCAGTTATGAAATCAGTGACATGGTTGTTAAGAAAATCTGGCTTCCCCATTGATTTTGCTGGTCAGAGGGTTGCAAAAGGTTATCACAGTATCCCAGAGCACTGCAACCATCATAAATATGAGTCAGTTGCCAAGCTCCTGAATTTTGATCATGTGACCATGATGATTGCTGCAACGGTCTTAAGTGTGAAAAACGGTCATAAGTCACTTTTTTCAGTGCCATTGTAACTTTGAATGGTCACTAAACAAACTGTTCTAGGTTGAGGACTACCTGTAGTCACTGCCACTGGAAGTAGAAGAATTTCTAAAGATCTTCAAGCAAAGGGTGTGTGTGGAACAGGGCTTGAAACATGTCCTTGCTTCCCCCATGCAATTTTGATCAGGCAATTAACTCCCCCTATAAAAAAAATAAGGCTTTCCCCAAAAGAGGGGGAAGGGAGCATTACTTCAGAATTACCCGCTATAGTGTGGTTTGAGTGGTTCAGGGAGTACCTTAAATATTCAATAGAATACAGGCTGTATTCACATATCGTGATGTGTCCAAAGATTTTTTAATGAGCCACGAAGGTCTAGTTTATAATTCACTGTTAATCACTGGTCTTACTTATCATTCTATATTAACATCCATCTTCTGGAGTGGCTAATCATGATATATACTGCCAGCCACAGAACTGAAGCAAAGAAAAATTGAAGCAGAACTTTGAGTGCTAGAGCAAGGTATTATAACCTTAAGCTGCAAAGACTGAACTCAATTTCTATTCTAGCACTGTTTTGCTGGAATTAGCTTTCCAAAACCGTATGAAGTCTTGTGATGATATCCATGCCATATTATTGGTTGGCTGATTGGATTAATGATATTTTGTTAAATTATATGAAGATGAAAAGAACTTCCTGAGTGAGGGGAGCTAAACAGTTGTCTTTTAGTTCATGGTGTATCCATACAAGAATTAATTTTCTAAGAGCAACATAGATCAATAACATAACTGAAGATGCTGCGCTACTGGATGCCTATAATGGTGAGTATACTGCTCTCTCTTATAAAGAGCCATGGTGGTGCAGTAGTTGATAAAATGAGGACCCAGATTGTTGGGGGTTATACGCTGATTCTGTAAACCACTTAGAAAGGATTGTAAAGCACTATGAAATGATATATAAGTCTAAGTGCTATGGCTATTTGCTATTGCTCTCTTTAGGTCTCTGTTACTATTATCCAGTACAGTTTTCATTTCCCATACAAAGATCTTGAGCAATTTTACAGTTTGTTTCCTTTCTCTCTATTGCCCTTTCCGGCTAATCCGGCTCGATGCAGTGTTGATGCTGGTTCACCTAAGCCACATTCTTCTGTTTCTAGCTTGGGTAGAGGAAGGTATGCCAATTGTGGTGATTTTTCCCAATATCTGTGACAGTCCATTAACTCAAACTTTTGTTTTCTGTAAAAGGTATAAAGGTCTTCCAAAGAAGCCAATGTTCAGAATCAAAATGCAGGCACATTTTTTGCTGTCTATGATTGCAGGAAAAGACTTCTCAGGAGTGCCCCTAGCCTAGTGTGCAGGTAGACCCTCCTGGCATCTAGGCATCCAGGATGTAGACTTCATATGCATCATAATTTGTGTTATTTCCATGATAATGTCATAACTCATTCTGATTAATAGGGTGCCTCAGCAAGCAACATTCACTAATATGCTTGTCCATTCTTAAAATTTCTGGATTGTTGTTACAGATAATGAGGCTAAGGATGGCATTTGATCTTCAGGTTTTGTTTTCTGCTGAAATAAATCACATGTTTCATATGTTTTCTCTTCCAGGTACTTGTGAGACATGATATAATGTGGCATAGTAAGCGACAATTAATGTCTGTTGAAAGTGAAGCAATTGACTTATATCCCCCCCTGAATGTTACCAATGGGACCAACACCACGTGCATCCTTTTTTATGCAACTAATTTCACTCTTACAGTCAACACCACCATTCACATGAATCTAACGAATTCGACATTTCTGTTTCATGCTGTGGACACTACTTCATCTGTTTGTTCAGACACCAATGCAACGTGAGCAGGATTAAAATAATATTTCAGCACCAATCCTCTTTAATAGTAAATTAAGCAAGCAGGTTATCACTCTTTTAATCACAGATAACATAGCTAAAATACAAAAATCCATAAGAGCTCAGATTAAGACTGACTGTATTAACAAGGTAATTATGAAATTGTGCAGTTCTTTTTTGTGCTTTTTGCATTTTAAAACAAATTTTCTTACAATCCCAGGCTTTGATCATTTTCACATTCACTTTATTTTGTAAATTACTATGGATACAATCCTATAGACATTTACCTGAAGGCATTTTCTACAGCAGTGTCTCTACAATTATAGTCAAGAGGGAACAGTTGACAAAAGTTGTATATCCAATCTAAAATTCTTTTTACATGTGCATCGTGATGACACATGCATGCTTGAAAGAAGCTGGGCAGTACTGCTTTCAACATTTTGGTGAAACCTGGAAGCTTCTGCACCTATGCATGTTTTCTGCTGAACTATTACATCTGGAAAACAAATCTGAGCAGGCATACACAAGCTTATGGACCAACACTCCTTTTTATAGAACTACAAACTCAGCTAATCTGCTGTTAGTGAAGTCCTGATGACTGGAAAATGCCTAATTGTGGGAAACACTTTTTAAAACTTATATACAAGTTAAAATAAAAACCATATGACCAGGTCTTCTTTTATATCCCTTTCTTCCATTTCAAAAACAGTTATGTATGATACTTCTCCATGTACACTCCACTCTGCCATGCTGTAATTTTTATTCTTTATTCTCATTCTATGAGACAATTCTTTAATTGTACGATCTCATTCCAGGAAGCCTTTGGCATTCTTATAGTCAAATGAATTCTTAAGTATCGTTGTAGAATCCAGTTCAATTGATAGCTTTTCCACTTTTGTTTGCCAAGGAAAGAAGAGATTCTCCTATTTGGAGACTTCTATGTATTATTTTCCTATATTTACTATCAGTATATAGTATGGTATATATTCACTATATATACTATTACTAAAATACATCTCTGTGTAGTATTTCCCTATATTTACTGGCTCATTATCCAGTATTTGAAAATAAACTGTTAACATTTCATTTTTTTTTTTCTTTTCTATTAGGTTGTCATTAAAATACACCAACCTGGAGAATGAAAAGATTGGAATCAAGATCCTGGAAATAAGGTAGTTTGGAAGTAAAACAAGAGAATCACATTGCAAATAAGGTTCATGTATTCCTTAAGTCTGTAGGGTTTGGGTTTTTTTTAATATGGATTTTTTTCCCCTCTGCGCTGAAGGTAACAGCAGACTACTTTTAAAAGCAAAATGATTTTCTGGAATGTTTAGGGAACATGGAATGATAGGTCACCAGTTCAAAAAGAAAAAAAAAGTCCTGAAGTTTTGCTAGGTCAGCAGTAGGCATCTTTCTCCTGTTAGAGGAGCAATTTTGTTTCTCAGTCTAGGCCGTTAGCTTCTATCTGCTTTCTTTGAATCATATATTATGCATCACTGAGACGATGTCACAGCTCAATAGATGCATTATGAATGAATGTATATTTAATTTAATTTTAATTTAATTTAATAATTTAATTTATATACCGCCCTTCTCCCGTAGGACTCAGGGCGGTGCACAGCATATTAAAACAGACAAACAAAATACATCAAAGAACAAAAAACCCCCATAAAACCAAATTAAAAGCCAAATATTCAAAGCTGTGTGTCAATTAAAATTTTCTTAAAATCATCCCTACCTAAAATCCTCCCTAGGTCAGGTCCGCTTGCTGGAAAAGCCATGTCTTGAGGGCGCGGCGGAAAGTAAGGAGATCCGGAATCATCCGGATCTCGGGGGGTAGTTCGTTCCAGAGGGTGGGGGCACCCACAGAGAAGGCCCTCCCCCTGGGGGTCGCCANAGCGGGACTGGCCTGAGGGATTTTAAAGGGGGTTTTAATTACTTTTAAATTGGACATATTTAAATATTTCGTTTTAATCAAATTTTAATTAAGTATATGTATATATGTTAGTATTTTATTCAATTGTCAGCCGCCCTGAGTCCGTAAGGAGAAGGGCGGGATATAAATGCAATTAATAAATAAATAAATAAAATAAATATACTATTACTAAAATACATCTCTGTGTAGTATTTCCCTATATTTACTGGCTCATTATCCAGTATTTGAAAATAAACTGTTAACATTTCTTTTTTTTTTCTTTTCTATTAGGTTGTCATTAAAATACACCAACCTGGAGAATGAAAAGATTGGAATCAAGATCCTGGAAATAAGGTAGTTTGGAAGTAAAACAAGAGAATCACATTGCAAATAAGGTTCATGTATTCCTTAAGTCTGTAGGGTTTGGGTTTTTTTTAATATGGATTTTTTCCCCCTCTGCGCTGAAGGTAACAGCAGACTACTTTTAAAAGCAAAATGATTTTCTGGAATGTTTAGGGAACATGGAATGATAGGTCACCAGTTCAAAAAGAAAAAAAAAGTCCTGAAGTTTTGCTAGGTCAGCAGTAGGCATCTTTCTCCTGTTAGAGGAGCAATTTTGTTTCTCAGTCCAGGCCGTTAGCTTCTATCTGCTTTCTTTGAATCATATATTATGAATCACTGAGACGATGTCACAGCTCAATAGATGCATTATGAATGAATGTATATTATTAGAACAGTAAAGCAACAAAATCCAGATGGGCATATGCATCACCTTATTACTGTCTCTCTCATTTCTTTTGGAAGCAATTACAAAGTGAACTGATCCTCCCCCTTCAAAAAAAGAAAATAATTTAGACTAGTATTTCTCAGTCTTAGCAACTTTAAGATTTCTGGGCTTCAAATTCCAAAATGTTCCTGCATGTTTTGCTAGATTTTAATTTCTTCTTTCCACATCTTTTGGCTATCTAAAAATTATTGCTCCATTTTCTCTTGAAATAAAGGGAATATTATGGAGATGCATAAGTCTATCCAACATTTTCAGATTTTGCCACTTAAATCTACTGACTCGGTTCTCCATCCTACAGCTCTGCATGCCTCATTTACTCTTTTCATATTATTTCCCATTATGTAGTGATGTATTATTAAATGTGTCTTTACTGATACATCTGTATTGTTGTATGGCTACATTATTTCATCTTAGATTGTTCCTATCTATCATGTAGGTTCTCATTTATCTACCTTTTGATTGCTAGTCAACCAAGTCAGATAGCCAAACAAACAAGTGTACAAATCACAGCAACCCACACAAAACCAAGACAAAACCCAACAAATCCTTCTCCTTTATATCAAAAAACTGCTGAAGTTACCTGGTTTGGTAAAGTAGTAGTTGCAAGAAGAAAAACAAGTTCACTGAATACCAATATCTCAACACTTTAGAGCAGGGGTAGGCAACCTTGGCTCTTTTATGACTCATGGACTTCAACTCCCAGAATTCCTGAGCCAGCCATGCTGGCTCAGGAATTCTGGGAGTTGAAGTCCACAAGTCATAAAAGAGCCAAGGTTGCCTACCCCTGATTTAGAGTCAAAGTGACATGAACACACAAAGTTTAACTACTAAGTGTGAATATGCAGAATAGTAGTGCAGCTAGGATCTAGGACCAGATTTTATTTATTCATTTTTTTAAATGATCCTTTTGAGGAATGAATTACTTTACCTGAAATTGGCCATGCACATTCTGGATCTTCAATCCTGCCTAAACTAATGGCTTAACAAATCAATTGTATAGAAGTGTAGGGAAAATACAGTTTGCTATTAAGGTCAAACTGGAATGACTGGAAAGCAATTTGTAACAAATAATAAAGACTATCTTGGGAATGAATAACTAGAATAACACAGACAATGAATTTAAATTAAAAAAACTTAAATCTTTTGCCACATGGTTCAGAGTACTATTATTAACAGGACAGCCAAGAGACCACAACACTTGGCCATGTTAAAATGCAGCAGTGAAATTTTCCACTAGAACAGCCCCTGGCAGACTAGCTAATGAAACACTTGCAAATAATATAGAATTCAAGAAGTCTGATTTTTAAAAAAAAAACTTCATATGAAAACGTTAAGTTATAATAAAAATTATGAGCTGCAAGCAGACCACACTACAACATTAATATTGATGGTAACTCCATGTTTACCTTGTAGCTATTGTAGAAATCCTGATTAGCCACACTTATACAAGCCAATCTCTTCCATATTTAAATTATTTGTTAAATTGTTATATGGGCTTCCAACTCCAACAGACAAATATTCCTAAAACTCAGAAGAAGATAAATGTTGCAATAATTGAGCTGTAAAACGTAATTCATACTTCTATGAATATAAGAAGTTGCCCTAAAGCAGCACACACTACTTTAGACATTCACTCTAAGGCTATTTCTCTAAATAGCAATAACTTTCAGGATTTCAGGTTAGGAAATAGATTTACTATATCTAAGCAGGAAAAATCAATGCTCTGAAGAACTGCCATCTAGTAATCAACTAAACTTTTGCAACTCAAATTTGGTAGCCTTAGACTCAATTGGAGACTTCTTTCATCTGTCTTCTTAATTTTTGAACTGGAAATGCTGGGGTGTAACACTTGAATCTTGTCTTTTTCTCTTATCCCAATCACTGAAGTTGAACTGACTATTATAGTGAATATAAGCTAGGACAACAACAAAAAAATGAGAAAACTAAAATCAGTGCTAACATCTTGGTATTCGTGGACAGATTACAATAGCCTAGCAATGTCCTTTATTAATTAATCTCCAAGGTAACCTAAAGCCTATGAAAAAAGCTAATTTCCCACACTGTGTTTGTGATCCAATTCCTGATGTAAAGAAACATATTCAGAGATATCCTGCTGCCACACTTACATGTACATATTTTTGTCTTTCAATAAATGTAGCAATGTTCATCTAAACGTCCCTTTTTCTAGATAATAAAAGCCTCTTCTTCCTCTCCCCCCCCCAAAGAAAATAAGCATGCCTCTTTTTGGGATTGCTGTCACCTCGTTCAGAAAATTAGCCAAATCCAAATATCTATAATTTTTATGTGAGTATATTTTTAAAAGAACAAAAAATCCTTAGAATCTGTTTGTCAGTGTCAGTGGTGTTATTAGACACTTTGAGACCTTGTGCTTCTTCCTTTTCTCATCCACATGGTTTACTGGGGAGTAAGCACTTTTTCTTAGACAAACATTAAAAAGTAAAACAAAATAAAACAATGAAATATCAGCTGGCTGTTGGACATACTGTTTAAATAATAAGACTAAAAGACTAAAAGGCCACACTTGGAATACTGCATCCAGTTTTGGTCACCACAATGTAAAAAAGATGTTGAGACTCTAGAAAGAGTACAGAGAAGAGCAACAAAGATGATTAGGGGACTGGAGGCTAAAACATATAAGGAACAGTTGCTGCAATTGGGTATGTCTAGTCCAATATCTCAGGCGCTGCCACAAAGAAGAGGGGGTCAAGCTATTCTCCAAAGTGCCTGAAGGTAGGACAAGAAGCAACGGATGGAAACTAACCAAAGAGAGAAGCAACCTAGAACTATGGAGAAACTTCCTGACAGTTAGAACAATTAATCAGTGGAACAACCTGCCTCCAGAAGCGGTGAATGCTCCAACACTGGAAGTTTTTAAGAAGAGACTGGACAGCCATTTGTCCAAAATGGTATAGGGTTTCCTGCCTGAGCAAGGGATTGGACTAGATGACCTCCAAGGTCCCTTCCAACTCTATTATTATTATTATTATTATTATTATTATTATTATTATTATTATTATTATTATTATTATTATTATTATTTATCTCATCACATACCACTTTCTCTCTGTGTGTATGTGTGTGTCATTTGATACTTTCTTTGAATATATGGCCCTACCTTTCATCCCTGAGGTGTAACTGTGGTTGTCCACTGGAGCAGAATGTTTCTATATTCAAATGTTTCAGGTGTATCCATATCTAATCTTATTTTGCTGATGCCTTTGATTCTTCTTCTATGATGATCTCAGAATGACTCCTTGTCATGTTTTGTTCCTCTCTAGATTCTTGATGACCAACATCTTCTATACTAGCTCTTCAAAGAATTGGTTCACTTTAGATTTTGTTCATATTCTGCAAGATGACAGGGATGCGGAAGATGAAATTGCTAAATTTAATGTCTCTACTATTTATGGTCCTGCGGAGTACTCATTTCATTGCCCCTTGATGGGCACGGACAGCCACTACGGTGTAACACTAATTCCAGCCAATGAGAAAGCTAAAAAATGGAAAGTTGATATTTCTGATTTCCAAGTGAGTACCTATCATTATTTAAGATACAATATCAAGAGCTGTAACTTGGGGTTCGAAGGACTGAAACTTAATACTATCTATACATTTTCTTCAGGCTTAAGTGAAAGTTTAAAAAAACGAAACAATGTTCAATACCTTGCTCATGTTTGGTCTATGGTGGCTTATCCAGTAAGGCAAGGATGGGAATTTATTTCATATCCAAGGCTGCAATTCTCAAGGAAATTGGAGAAGTAAGGGACACAAAGAGTGCAGGGCTAAGTATTTTGAAGGAGGATGGAATTTGAAGGCTTTCATTTTTAGGCTGTTATTGTCATGGTTCTGATAGATGAATCCCATTAAAGAACTTCAAGGCAAGAATTCTTCCTTAAAGAACATTTTATTCAGGAAACAAAGTATCAGCACTACATAATTGAACCCAAAACTAAATTCCCTTCCCCCAGATACAAAGTAACAAGTTGCAATTCCCGCCCCCTGGAAGCAATCATAAATCACATTCTCCAATTAGCCTGAAGCACGGGCTCCCTCTCCAGCTCCTCAGCCTGCCAAAACGTTATCAGTTTGTGTCCTTGAGTTCCCACAGAGTTGCATTATTATTGTGGCTAGCTGAGCTCAAGCATTCACCCCATCCCCCCTTCTACATCTGATTTCTAAACAGCAGAAAAAGCATGCTGAAAGCAGAGTAAAAATGGTTGCAATTTCCCTTAGTTGTCAGAGCGGGAACATCCATTGTCACAGCATTGACATCTATATTTGGAGATATATTGTCATGGCCTGGTTGATAAGGAGGATGGAGAGGCAAAGGCACTTAGAGACAATAATCTTGGTTGGGATTTTTCCAGTAGTGGTGGAACTAATTAGTCCTCTTTGAGTGAGATAGTCCAAGCAAACTCCCAGGGCTCCTTGCCTGCATTTATTGATAGCCTCTCAGATTTGGTCCAGCCAAACCAGAGATCAAAACTCCATAGAGTGGAGCGATTTGCCAAGAAGCAAGCCAACGGAAGAGTTAATGCTGAAGAACTTCCACAATTATGTATTGTGTGGAAGTTCAAGTTGGCTTATTGATTTTCCTCACTCCCTGAGAGAAAATGTTGAGAGCAACTTTCTGTGTTTACTTTGCTATGAACTCTGGATTCCACTTCACTTAGCCTCTTGTCTTTTCCTTTGGATTTGTCCCTTTTTCATTGGATTCTTGGTCTTGACCTTGCCAAGCCTTTGACCATATTTCAGTTGCCATCTTGAGGTGCAGTGAAAAGGACTCTCTGCTTCTAAACGTTCTGCCTGAGCTTGCACATCACTGGACTGTGTCAGGCATCTAGTTTGCTATGTTAGCTGGTAGCCAGCAATGCCAGCACAGAAAACACAGTGTATAAATTTGGTCTGTGCTATAAGTCAGATGGAAACTGTAAAATCTACTTTCAACCATCATGGTTATATACTGTAGGACAGTAATGGCGAACCTTTTAGACACCGAGTGCCCCAAAACTGCCCCACCCCCGCACCACACCACCCCTGCTCCATCCCTGCCCTGCCCCCACCCACCCGCTGGGCCACCTGCCACCTCCACGGCCCACCGCAGATCACCCAGGCGGCCCAGTAGCGCCACGGAGGCAATGCCCTCCACCCATGCCCAGCAGCATCATCTGTTTGCGATGGGGCACAAGGGCAGTGTCTTGTCCCCACTGCCTGGCTGCCATGTCCTTGGCTGCGCTGCTCCAGGCGAGCCATTCCTGAGGGCGATTTTCCTCTGGGGGGGCTGCTGGTGTGGAGGGGGCTGTGGGGGGAGGCGGGGCTGGTACAACAGCACATGTGCCCACAGGTTCGCCACCACTGGTTCGCCACCACTGCTGTAGGACTTCAAAGGCCAAAAGAAGGGAAATTGGAGTCCTATATACCCCAGTCTGCAATAATTGAAATATTATGATGAGTAGCAATTGTAAAAGCAGTATATGAAATACATACAATAAAAGTGTATTTCCCCTCCCATCAGGAAGTACAACTAACTGGAATGTCTACCTTCAAGCTCCTGTTAATGCCAGACTAGTTATTTGTGTGCTACATAGATTGCAACTACATATTTTCCCATTTAATTGCAAGTGATAGAAGGGAACATTAGGTTTTACTGGAACATATGCCACACAGAGAAAAACCTCTCCTTCCTGGCATACTTGGTCAAAATTGCACACAGATGCACACACACGCATACACATTTAAATGGCTAGGGCCCATACTGCATACTAAAAGTTGATGTTGCATCCATTTCTGTTATTTTTGGTAATGTGAGAAATCCTAGTGATGGTAGATAATTAGGCTAGGCATTAAGGGGAAAATGCTAAAAAAAAGACACGGTATGTCCATTAAATCTCCATAAGGTTGAGTCTGACTTGACTTTTTTTTTCTTTCCCAACTGTAGACATTGTAGGAGGAGAGCTGTGTTACTCTACAATAGGCAATAATCAAAGCTGATAGGATGTTTTCAAAATAAATTTAATTGAAGAGCATAAGTTTTCATAAGCTACAGTTAACTTCTTCAGAAACATGAAATAACTAAACTGATGTAGGAATTAAATTAAGATGAGGTGGGGAGGGGAATTCAACTGAAGAGAAGGTGCCTATGTCATAATGGTCACATGTGAGACAAATTTCAAATATTAGACCTGAAAACTCTGTCTAAAGATTTTGATCAAAAGATATAAAAAAAGAAAGTGGGTTTTTTTTCCAAGTTTGCCCATCAATAAACTGCAGGGAGTTTCATCTTTACCTTCTTGTTAGAATATATCTCAAAGTGATGGCAAAGCTTGAGAAAAAAGGTAGCTGAGGGAAGACATCAAAGAAGGCATTGTTAAAGTCAGACCAGAAATGTTAAGGTAATGAAGCTTCCACACTGAGTAAGACTCAAAAACAAACCAGAGAGTTTTTGTTGTTGCTGTTGTTGTTGCAATTGTTGGCAAGATTAATAGTGCAGCAATATCTGTAAATGTAGCCCATTCAGTCCTCTTTGGATAAAGTGCTTACTAACATCAAAGCCTTTAATATGTTGCATGCACTTTTAACTCCAAGCACAGTATCTAGTATGTTCCAGCTTACATTTCCTCCATGCCTAAATACTGTACATACATAGACTCCTTCTCCAAAACTGTCATCCTACTTGGCTCCAATGCAGCAGCAGGAACAAAACATGCCACATCATGACAATAAGGTTGTTGAGCCAAAATAAGAATCCTATCTTATTTCTGTATGAATGAAAACAGAATCAAGAATTGTGATGGGAACATTTAATGGCATTTCAATCCATAGGTCCAAATTGCCTTCCTCAAATGTACATAGATACTAAGCAGCATAGGTGATAAAATAAAATCCTGTGGGACACAACAAAATAATAACCTGTATGTTGAATAAATAGCCTCTCTAGCACTTATTTCTGGCACATCCCAATAGGAAGAGCTGAAGCTACTGCAAAATTGTGCCATCAAGGCTCAATTCTAGCAGGTATCCTAAAATACATCAGTGGTATCAAAAGCTCAAAGAGACCAGAGAATTATTAGGGTTACTCCACCCCCATCTAGTTCCAATATTGGACAATCAATCAAAGAAATATCAATTATTATCAAGGGGACAGTCCCACCTGCTGATTTCATCAGGCAAGAGTGATAAGGATTAAGCAAAGGAATTCTCATGTTTCTACATAACTGTCCACATCCTTAAGATCTACAAGATAAAAACAATCCACATGAATTGAATGAGCAATTGCCAAGATCACCTTCTTGTCTATCTGAAATCCACATTGTGGCAATTGTGACCACTCTTTCTCCAAATAACAATGAAAATTGTCCAAAGTGAGCCTTTGAATATCCCATTTTCTCTGCATAGCACTTTCAAGGAGAGCATACACATGATCTAGAAAAGCATTAATGGCTTATGCTGTGCAAATGCAACAGAAATAGCAAAGTAAGCCTTCTTTGCTTCATTTACTTTCCCAGAGTTGGAATTCAATGACTGATTCCATTTCTATCAAATAACCATTATTATTATGCTTTTCAGCTTGTATATCATGATGTAGACAAGCAAAATTAGGACTATCATTCATTTACTCAGTTCTCATTAAAATACCAGACCAGGCTGTCTTCATGGTTAAAAAAAAGTGATCAGAGCCTCCTTCACACATACTGTACACACCCATACACACTCACTGCCTAAATGACCTGTACTAAGGCAACCTTCCCTTGAGCTAGAAACTATGTGCATTTATAACCCAATCTCAAAAATTCCATTTCTGGGAAACATGACTGGCTTCAGGTGTATCTGCATGATACCAATAATCTGGGCATGTTTCAATTAGTTATATCACATCTTGACTAATGAAAAGTGTTTTATGTTGGGAATTGCTCTGACTTATGTTCTTGCATCAGAGATTCAGTCATTTAATGGCAGCATGCCATCATTATGGGGTTATCTTAGGCTGTTAACCAGTGCAAGATACAAGGAAGGAAAGAGCTGTGCTGGTTACGAATTTACTAAATACAATTAAATGTATTGGTGTTATCCCTGAAAAGCCTAAAGAACTTAGAGTCCAAGAGATGGGTTCTTTCCCCTGCTATGAGTCTGGTTGTAAATGAATATTTGTAGAAATGGCCCTTTTGATAATTTCCTACTATCAAAGACTCATCTATCTTACATGTGGAAGAAAGCTGTTCAGGTTGCATTTGGAAGGACAGCAAAAACACCATCTTCTAAGTACTAGTTCATTTTAATCTTTCACTTTTAAAAACTTCCAGTTCTGTATTTCAATTTGTATTTTTTTTAGTTGCTTTGAGATCTCCATTAAATAGAAATGCAACATGTTGAACCCAATATTTGGATGGGTCTTTTTTCTTTTTCTTTTGCAGATCCAAGCTTTCAATATTGAAAACAACATGTTTTCCTACGCGAGCGACTGCACATCATTTTTTACACCTGGAATTTGGATGGGTCTGGTCACCTCCCTAATTTTATTATTGATCCTTACTTATGGAATCCACATGATTATGAATCTTACCACCAACAGTAGATTTGATGACCCAAAAGGTCCAGCTCTTTCAGTCCCTCAAACAGAGTAACTATGAAATTGTAGTTTGGAGGATTGCAGCTTCTCTGTCATTGGCTGGGCTACCTAAGGCTGATGAATTAAGCTGAGTTCAATAAGGGTATCAGATACTATACTTGCTATGGGAGGAATCATATGCAAAGAATTAAAAATATGAATTGCTTTGAAAAAGTGTTTTTTAAAAAAAATATAGGAGACTGTAAAGTAATAGTTCTGCCGGCCTTTATTCTCCCCTTAATAATTACCTAAATGAAAATTCTGAGGCAAATCTGAGATTATTCAGTCTCTAGTTTCAGCTTTATAAATGAAATCTTAAAAACCTATTATGCAGGTATTTAAGAAATTATTTAAGTAAGATCATTAAGAAAATGTACATTGAGATTAAAAATTTATCCTAAACACATTTTAACAGAAAAGTAGGATATATATTTTAAAAATATACTTTCTTATATCTTCTTAAATATAACATTCATGCCTAATGTTGTGATCAGAGGAAATGCTACCAATTTCCTTTTTTAAAAAAATACTGGATATTAAAATTTCTGTTATGCAAATGTATTTCTAACTGCAGATTCCAGGGTTATTTTTTTCTAATTATCTTATTGGAGTGTTTTGCAGCCCAAACAATGAAATCAATTTGAGGCATAGTCATACCAAAACTGCACATTTAGTACTGCTGGGAAAAAAATGAGGATAATTGAGCAACTGTCATTTAACAATTTTTTTTCATTTCCTATTTTTTATTCAGATGTAGGGCTACTATGAATGGGGTTTAAAATGATGACTACTAGATGGCAGTTGAAAGAAAACTTTCCTTATTGCCATTTAGTGATTGACCAGATTTTTGCAGCCCAGATATATTAGTCCTTTTCAGAAAGGTACAGGATCATATTTTTCAACATGCTCAAGCTTTTAGACCTGCATCTCAATTTTACTTTAATTTTTCATCCATTCTTTTTCTTATTCCTTCAAGAAATAGCCAAAAGAGAATGTCACAATAATTTAAAACAATGTTATAATGTTAAGATAAACTCAAAAGAGCAGGATATTTGGAGTGGGAAGCAAAAAAAATCAGAACATTACTGTTTCGGAATTTTGTTCAGGATTCCAGAAAACCTTTATTAATGAATGGTCAGAATAAGTCCATTAATAAAGGACAGTGACTTCTAGCCCCACTTTAGGCATGAAATCTGGTTGGATGACTTTGGTCAGTTACTTTGTGTCAGCCTAACTCATCTCACAGGGTTGTTGTGGTGGGGAAAATAGAAGAAAAGTGTTAGATATGTTTACTACCATGAGTTATTTATAAAAATAATAAAAGGAAGATTAAAAAATCTAAAAAAAATATGCTTAATGAATGAAAGCTGCAGTAAGAGCAGTCAACCAATGGAGTAGATTGCTTCATACAATGATGCATTCTCCTTCACTGGAGGTTAGATGACCATCTATCCAGCATGTTTTAGCAGTGAGCAATGAGTTAACAAAGATGACATGTAAAGTCCTTCCCAACACCTGTTTTATGCACCTCTTACTAATAAGCAGGCAATTCAGCTTGAAAGATGCCTAGACATACCAGGCCATGTCCTAGTTTCACTGAACAATTCACACAATTTCTTCATACACATATTTTGGCTAGCCAGGGTCTAACTTTGTGTTGTCTCTATAAAGTGACTATTTGTGTCCTTCTTTCAGTCAGAAAAGCCTTTCTCAGATTGAAGACAAAATTTTATTAATAAATTATATAAACTCTGTGTGTTGTATCCTATTTTATTTTACAGAAAAATTACAATCTACTTTGACACTGTGGTATCTATTTATTTCCTGGGTAGAAGCCCTTCAAGCAATGTTTTGAAGCAGAGCAATATGTTCGTAATTTTTACAGAGTAAACTGAAAGGGACACAGGAGATAGCATATCTCAGAAATTAATGTGGAAGCCTCTGGCTCTGCTAATAAGACATTTGCATTTTCTTCCCAATAAGAGAACAAAATTGAAAGTTGTCATAAAGAGACCATCCTCTCAGAGTGTTGGTGGTACATATCAACGACATAACCTAATACATAGCTGTTGTGACGTTCTGACCACAAGAGGGAAATAAAGTCAACATAAAGAGTTGTCTATCTCTGCTGCTTTTTGTCTTTGTCAGCCCTTCAAGTTAGAAGCACAAACTATGAGTACTAACACTATTGTAAGGTTACAGCAACAGAATCTTGCAAGTCTGAAAAAAAATCTTACTTTTATTTTCCAGAAAACTAGAGAGGGTCCCTTCTGAGACACTGCATACCCCTTTTCCTTCTGTGGGCTGAGACACCTTTTATGTGATTGTTGCCTAGTCTGCAGCTCTTTTTTCTGACTCCCAAGATCATTCCACATTCCATTATAATCTTATACTTATCCGAAGTCACTTCCTTTTGCCATTCTTCCCACACACCATGAGCACGTGCCCTTAGATGTTCTTCCTAGCAAGATATAGTTACTAGACACTAGCTTTACATATACCTTTCATTCATTCACTGTAAATAAGTGTCCTTACACTCTTATTATAAAACGTACTTTACAAATCATTGTTCAGGAAGATTCCAATTTTTGGGAACTCCCACATAGAATGCTTAACCTCCAACAGTTATGAGAAGAAACAATCACATTGGGCTATGCATAATCAATGCTAGGACATGTTGGTGTCTCAGGTTTTTAAAGAGGATCCCAGGTGTCAATATCCCATTTATCTATGATAAACCCTTTTTTGTTTGTCATTTGTATGCTTCCCTAAAACAAGAATTCTAGGTGAAACTTTCTCTAAGGTAATTGTATTAGAGGATGAACTAAAAGTAGGCATGAAAACTGGCTGGCTGGCTGACCTTAGGCCAGTCACTAACTCTTAGCCCAACTTTTTCTGGTGGAAAAAATAGGAGGAGCAAGGAATTATGTCGCCATCCTGAATTATTTATAAAAATTACATTAAAAAAATATTTAAAAAATAGAGAAGAACCAAACAGAAGAAGGAATGGTAAGATGGCTCCAAGTAGGGGTCAGGTATTTCAGTGGAAACCCATACAACCAAGAGATCTCTCAATCTAGAGGAAAGCAAGCAAATAAGCAAACAATTTAAATATCAGAATGAAGTGAATGAATGAAGTGAAGTCTACCCTTGGCTTTCTCTTCCTGAAGCCTTAACTCAGTTCACTCCTTCTGCGGTGAAGTGACAATAAATATTTTCTTATGTCTGTTATCCCTTCTATGGGATAATGTCAGCCTTCGAGAGGACTCCAAGGGGCAGCAGGGATAGGTAAGAGTACTGGATTATATGGGTCAAAAAATACAAGTTTGCTTACAAAGCAGAATCCACAGACATCTGAAAAAATACTGAGAAAAAGAAAATGCTTACTCAGCAACCAGGGTCAAAATAGCTTTTGGTCTGGCATACATTGCATGCTTGCTATTACAGGAGGTAATATATAACAAAAGATATTCAGAATAACTAACAGTTGAATGTAAATGAGACAAAGGGTAAAGCATTGTTGCATTTTACTAGAATTTTGGAAGTACTGACACCAAGATAGATAAGCAGAAAGTTACTGAATACTAGTATGATTATTATACAATAATACAATCTAGTAATACTTAATAATAAGAGACTTGGGTATTTAGGACCAATTACCAGCTCGTTTAAAATGCTGTCATGAGAAATATAATCAATGTTGTCTCTTTTTTTCATCTTCTATTCCTAAGAATCCTTGAAGAGTTTGAGGGAGTAGACAAGCATTATTGACAGTCTTATCTTGTTATTGGATCCTAGACTGTATGTCATGTCATTATGTTTTAGTTTGGAGAAAACGTATAAGCATCATTGATTTGTGCATGTAATATAATGGTTTAGCATACTAATTTAAAAAAGGTTGTCTTGTTTTATTTGTTTTATTTCTGATTATGCCATTGTATACAGAAATCATACATAGCTGCAGCACAATGTTTATGGTATGATAGCTTAAACAATTGTAGCTGTTGAACTTGGTAATGTGAAGAAGATTCTGTAGGTTATCCTTCCCTAAATATCTGGAGTGAAACTGTGTTTAAGCAGGGATGGGCAGGTTCACTTCTGCATATTTCACCTGGCCTGTTAATTACTTCTCTCCCACGTAAGTCTTTCCTGCCAGACCAACTTGGACAGGGCAAAATAAAAACAAGATGGAAAAGTTTGGCCTACTCATTAAAGATCTAGCTCATTTCTTGGTAAGTTTCAAAGTGGGAAGCAAATGAACCTTAAGACTTATCCAGCTTTTTTTAAAAAATACAAGAAATTGTCTGAACAAAAAGCAGCCATTCCAGCATTCCACAAGATTTTCTCTTCCCCAGACAAAAGCCACAGAAAAATCAGTAGGGGAATGTTCAGCTAGAAGGAAGCTCATAAGAAATGGCCAACTAAGGGATTTAGCTAGCTAGAATACCAGGCAACCTTCCTAGAGTTTACAAGTTGTGGGTAAATTATTTTTCATTTCTTTCTCTCTTTTTTGGGGGGGAGGGGTTACAATATGCATCTGTAGCATCATTAAAGAATAATAGAATAAAAACTTTATTGAATTAGTCATTTGATCATATCAAAAGTATAAAACTAATACAAATATACAAGTAGATCTAAAGAAAACAATAGGACATGTTCAGAGTAAGTCGTCACTCCTCCAGTGATCTAAATCCTTTTGGAAATGGACTTTCAAAAGTGCAGTCTTCCTAGTGATATGCAGGTTTGTTCCATGAAAAAGGTAAGAGTTTCTCTCCAGTGCTCCCTTTTCTAGTTTTTAAATAAGAATCTAAATAAACAGCTCTTTTTTTTTTTTGCAGAGTACAGTTTGCAGTCAAAAAGAATAGTTCAATGCCTTCAATGGCTGGTGCTCCACAAAGAACACTGTCTCCTTTCAAATGGAACTTCATGAAACTTCCTATATGTTACTACAGAGTCTAGTTCAGGGGTAGGCAACCTTGGCTCTTTTATGACTCGTGGACTTCAATTCCCAGAATTCCTGAGCCAGTTCATGAGTCATAAAAGAGCCAAGGTTGCCTACCCCTAGTCTAGTTGTTTGAAATGAGCTCTAGAAAAAGTTCTCGAGATTTTGAACTATATAAGTTGTTAAAATATTTT